CGTGCATTCAGTGACGAAGTCGGCCAAGGCTTGCCCTTTGATAGATGGCCTCGGCTTGATCTCAATTTGAAATTGGCTGAGGAAGATTGCTCATTTCACCATCCTAGAGGAGCTGGTGGGGCTCCTCATGAGTGCGCCGAGAGGCTGCTGGGTTAGCACATGGACGGCATGGGCCTGGAAGTAGTGCCCCAGCTTCTTTACCGTATGGACGATGGCCAACACCGTCTTCTCAATGGGGGAGTACCTGAGCTCGGCCTCCCTGAACGTTTTGCTGATGTACAAGATGGCCTTCTGCACCCCTTCGTCCTCACGGATGAGCACGGAGCTGATGGCCGACGTGCTCACCCCTAAGTACAAGAAGAGGGTTTCGCCGGCTTTGGGCTTGGAGAGCACGGGTGGGGACGACAGGTACCTCTTCAATTCGTCGAATGCCTCCTGGCACTCTGTCGTCCACTTGAAGCTGTTGGCCTTACGCATGATCTGAAAGAAAGGGAGTGCCCTCTCGGCTGACCTGGAGAGGAACCGGTTCAGGGCCGCCAGGCGCCCCGTCAGTCGTTGTACTTCCTTGACGTTACGGGGCGGCTCCATGTTGATGATAGCCTGTGTCTTCTCCGGGTTTATCTCGATGCCTCTCCGGCTGACCATGTAGCCGAGGAACTTGCCACCCTGGACGCCGAAGGCGCACTTCTTGGGGTTGAGCCGGAGCCTGAACTCCTTCATGATTTCAAAGATTTCCCGGAGGTCATCGGCGTGGGAGGAGGCCTGTCTGCTCTTGACGATCATGTCGTCGACGTACGCCTCCATCGTCCGGCCAAGGACCGCTCTGAAGATCTTGGCCACCATCCTAGTGTAGGTGGCGCCGAAGTTTTTTAGTCCGAAGGCCATGACGAGATAGCAAAAGATTCCTTCTGGGGTCATGAATGCCGTCTTCTCGGCGTCATCTTCATGCATGGAGATTTGGTGGTACCCTCTGAAAGCGTCAAGGAACGACATCAACTCGCACCCCGCCGTTTCGTCCACCAGCTGATCAATGTTGGGGAGAGGGAACGGGTCCATGGGGCACGCCTTGTTCAGGTCAGTGTAATCAACACACATTCTGAACGTCGGCGGTTTCTGGGCGAGGACGACGTTGGCCAACCATGTTGGGTACTTTACCTCTTTAATGTGCTTGATTGAGAGGAGCATGGCGACCTCCCCTTTGACGAAGTCCCGCCTGTCGGCGGACAAGTAGCGCCGTTTCTGTTTGACGGGCGCGGAGGCCGGATCGACGGTCAGCCGGTGAGTGATCACCTGGCGGCTGATGCCTGGCATATCGTCCGGGCCCCAGGCGAAGACAACGGCGTACGACCGTAGGACGAGGAGGATGGTGTCTCGTTGGTCCTGGGGGAGCTGCTTCCCGATCCTGAGGACCCGCTCCGGCCGGGAGGTATTCAGAGGGACCTCCTCGACCTCCTCGGCCGGCTCAGCATGTGGTCTCTCCTCGTCCTTGGCAACGGTTGCCGTGATGGTGTCTATCCTCTGGCCTTCCCTCTCGGCCGGCCTCGTCAGTTTGAGGTAGCACGCCCTGGCTATCCTCTGGTTTCCCCTAGCGTAGCCGATGCCGTCATTGGTGGGGAACTTCAGACATAAGTGCTTCATGGAGATGATGGCCTCCAAGTCCTCCAGCGCTGGCCGGCCCAAGATCAGGTTGTGGGCGCACTGGAGGTTGACCACCATGAACTCCATGTCAATCCTGGCGTGGTGGGGGCCGTCACCGACCTCCATGGGGAGGACTATCGTGCCTTCGGCGTCGATAGAGTCCCCGGTGAAGCCGGATAACGGTGTCTTGATCGGCTTCAGCAGAGCTCTGTCCAGCTTCAGCTGCCTGAAAGTATCCAGGTACATCACGTTGACGGAGCTCCCCGTATCGATGTAAGTGCGGTGGATGATGGAGTCACCGATCTCACACCGGATGACGAGGATGTCCCTGTGTGATCCCGTACCCGGAGGCAAATCCTTGTCGGTGAAGGTGATCGCCTCCGTCCGCTGCTTCTTCGGCTGGGGGGGAACGTGGGACACCTCCCCTATGTAGAGGGATTGGGCCCATTTCTTTCTCTGAGTGGCGGAGTCCCCCCCAGTGTTTCCACCTACGATGAGGTGAATGTGATTCTTCTTTGGCGGGGGCTCTTCGAAGTCCTCGTCGTCGCTGAGCCTACCAATCTCCCGCTTCTTCGCAGAGGGTTCGCCCCCATGTTTGCCGGTGTTTACCCATGTGTTTTTGCGTGGGCCACCTTTAACAATCTGGGAGAGTTCCCCATGGCGAATAAGGCGCTCGATGGCCTTCTTCAGGGTGATGCAATCGTCGGTGTTGTGCGATGAGTTCTTGTGGAACCGGCAGTATGTGCCGCCCTGCTGGATGGCAAGGATCTCCTCGGCCGGCCGAGGAGCCTTCCCGATGAGGCCGTGCTTCTCGGCATAATCGAGGATGGTGCCGACCGGGTGAGTGAGGGAGACCCCCGACCGTTCCAACCTCGGCCGCCAGTGGCGATCTTTCTTACTCTGTCCGCCAGAGCCGTGACGGCCCTGGGCACCCTGGCCGGCCGGGGACGGACCCGGGGCCGGCGAAGGATTTGTCTTCTTGGAGGAGTGGCCCCCCTCTTTCTTGTGATTATGGAGCTCGTCGGCGTCGGCGTACAAGCCTCCGCGCTAGAGCGCCTTGGCGTACGACCTCGGAGGGTCGGTGATAAGGCTCCTAGCGTACGGGGAGCTGCGGAGGGCTCCCTGGTACAAAGCGAGGAGGGTGCGCTCATCGGACCCCTCGACCTCTTCGGTTTCCCTCGTCCACCGATCAATGAATGACTGGAGGGACTCCTCGTGGTGCTGCTTGACGGAGAGGAGGTGGGTGAAATACTTCTTCGCACGCTTCCTCCCGGCAAAGTGAGTGAGGAAGCGTTGGGCAAGATCTTGCCATGAGTCGATGCTCCCCTCAGGGAGTGCGTTGAACCACTCGTACGCTGGCCCCTCGAGAGTAGAGAGGAACCAACGGCAGATGTATTCGTCGGACGCGTTCACCATCAGCATGTTGTTCTGATAGCGGCTGAAGTGTTCCTGGGGGTCTGATCGGCCGTCGTAGGACTTGATGGCGTTTCCCCTGTACTTCTCCGGGATGGGGGCCGAGAGGACCCTGTTGGTGAAAGGGGTCCTGGTCCTCACCTGGATGATGGGGTCACCTCGCCCCTCGGCCAGCTCCCTCTCCAGGGCGCTAACCTTGTTCATGAGCGCGTTGAGGCCGGGGTCATTGGAGGCGCCGGCCGTAGGGATGTTGGCCGACTGCTTGGCCTCCATCTGTGCCAACCTCCTTTCCAGCTGGGCGATGACCTCGTCCCGGGAGTCCCTGCCAGCCGCAGCGGCGCCCGACTGGTTCCTCATGCGCCCGTCGTGAGCCGCATTGATCTGATGGCGCACGTCGTCTTCGTGCAGCTTCCCCTTGCCCTTGTCCGGGCGGGGCTGGTCCGCTGTCCGGGACACAGACCCCAATCTTTCCCTTGGTGAGCCAGGCCGACGCTCGGCAATCCGTCCCGCCATCCTCTCCGAAACCGGACAACGGCGCGTGTCACCTAGCCTGTTGAAGGCAGAGGCTTTTCCACGCGCTGGGGTCTGCCCGGGCCGAAGAGGGGAAGTAGGGTGGGAGTGGGACAACGTCGTGTCCTGATCCATCACCCCCTCATCGTTGCCTATCTGGACGGCCAACGGTTGGGGCTGAGGAGGTGGAGTGACGTTCCCCCCGGTCCTTGGCAAGAGTGCGCTGAGGACGGTGGGATTCTGAGCCAGGCTGGCGATGATGACCGACAGCGCGGCCTGGACCTGCGGATCCACGGACGGAGAGGCCGCGGCCGTAGGCTGGGCCGGGGCGTGATCCGTCTTCTCAGCTCGTTTCTTGTCCAAGCCGATGCGGGCATCAGGGGCTCCGCCGTTGAGTTGGTTGCGGAGGTCCGTCGTGAGGTTGAATGCCTCCTGGAAGACGTCCCCTCCGCCGACCTGGTCGACCGTGGCGTCCTCGTCGTGCTCCTTGGGCTCTTGGTCCTCAGGGATGGCCTTGCTGACGAGGTTGTGGTTTGACTTAGTTCTTCCCATGATCAGTGGTTAGCTGTGCTTGGTAGCGACGAAGGGTGCTAACTTGATTGTTCTAGCTCTCAATGAAAGCACCAAATGATAGAGTATTAACTCCTAGAGAGAAGTGAGAGCTAGAGAGATAAAGTGATATATATATATATATAATGAATTTCCAACCCCTATAACTACTCCCAAGGGGAGTATTTATAGAGAAAATACGGGCTGGGCTCCCAAGCCTTGGGCTGGGCTCCCAAGCCTTGGGCTTGGGAGGCCCATTTACAACTGGACCGCTACTGGGCCGAATACAAAGCCACTAATGGGCTGTACAAATGAGTAAGTGTAGAATCCGATTCTGTGGAGTCTTCGTGGCCGACGAGGGCGTGGCCGACGAGGGCACGGCCGACGAGGGCGCGGCCGACGAGGGCACCCGGGTCCCTTGGCTTCAGGACCATAATCTGAGTTGGCACCTTCCTGGCCGACGGGGGTCCCTTGGCCGACGAGGGCGCCACTCCGTGTCTTGTGCTTTCTGTTCTTCCGAGTATGTGGGTCCAGGGGCTCAGACCCATATACTCCATCAGACTACTTTAGTCACTTTTTTGTCCAAATGTAAAAGTGGTCACATTTTAGGAAATCACATTTAATTTAGTAATATTGAAGGAATAACCTCATCTAAATAAAAGTTGTTTGAAATGAAACAAATTATTAATTATGCAACCTATGTCATTACATAGAGCATATATGGATACACAGTTAATTATTGTGTCTATATATATGGTGCGATCCTTAGTAAATACTCCGTATCTTCGAGAATTGTGAGAATATCAATTTTAATTTCCTCTGCACTTTTAATTAATTAGCGTCCTATTTGCACTAACATTGATGAAAAAATCATTGAATTGTGTTATTGTCACTACATGTTTTACCTTTTTCAAGGCACTAGCACTTATAATTAACTCTCTCTTTTCACATCAAGACTATATAACATACTTGATTGGTATAAATGCTGGGGCATTATTCAAGTATTAATGGGAGCGCTTGAATTAGTGGTTCTTGAGGTGAGATCGCAAGCGTAGCCGGGAGGAAGGTACAACCCACACATGCCAATCAGCTCAAGCGCCACTGGCATGAAAATGGTGAGATTCATCATCCTCATCGACATCGTCGAGCACATGCACACCGCCGCTTCCATCCCCACAAGCCCTCCCAGCATGGGGCAGCACTTGTTGATCGCTGGGTCACCGAGGTGGATGTGAATCAGCCCTCCTAAAATATCCAAACACAACCCTACTTTCATTGTGTCAATGGGACAATACTTTGGCGGCGGTGGCGGCGTTAGCGGCGACGGAGGTGGCGGTGAGTTCATCGGTGGTGGGGAAATAGTCGGCGTCGGCAACGGCGGCCGTGGTTTCGGCTTTGCTGGTGGGGCAGCTGGCTTCGGTACCACCGGCGCCGGTGGACACGGCTTCGGATCTGGGTGAGACCGTGGCACTGGCACCGGTGGTTTTGAAGCCGGCGGCTTTGCAGCCGGGGATGTTGCCTGAAGCTCAGTCGGCTTTAGCGGGCCTAGCGGTCGGGGATGGTAGTATAAAGTTGGTGATAAAAGGGGAACAGCCAAGGTAACATTCAAAAGCATGGAAATGAGATAAGCGGAAGCTATTTCTAATCGCTTTGAAGAGCCCATATATATGCCTTGTTTTGAAACAAAACACGATACTAGAATCTCTTCGGAAGCAAGAAGGAAGAGTGTGTTTTTTCAGGTGACACAATTATGTTACTTTTTTGTTTATTACTTATCAGAACAATAAATACTGCTAAAGCATATATATATATATGCATGGCTCCTCTAAAAGATAACCACATAATTCTTGCACGAGATGCCATTTAAGGCCAAAGACTGAAAGATCCATGTTTGGCGGATGTGAATTGAAGCTCCACGTGTCATCAAAGACAGTCAATGATCCGTAACTCATGCCCCTTTCCATGTAGTTTTCCTTAATAGCTCATTAAGGCATCACTAATGGTTACATTAAGAAACTTGCTTAGCTTCTAATGTTTAAAAATATTAAAGCTACTAACTACTTGTCATTGGAGTGCATTTTTATTCCTAGCTTGGATAGGCAAATTAGTCAAATACAAGCTACTTGTTACAAGCGAGAAAAGTTTGAACTACAATGGTAAGTACCAAATATTTTAATTTATTAGGTAATTAATTGATAAATTAAACTAATTAAAAAGTAATTGGTAAACTAATTACACTATTATTTGAGCCGAGTGAAGAATTATTAAAATCTTCATGACCTTCCACAAGGAGAGGATCTTAAATGTAGATGTGGACATTGTTTTAAAAGTCTCTAGGCACTAGCTCGTCCTGGTTGTGAGGCATCTATGCACCTACTAGACTGATTAGTCTTCTACAGTTAGGGATGCGTAACGCCTACGTGTTGATTAATCGGATTAATTATGCCAATTTTTAGAACAATAGATGTAGAATATTTCCATTTGTTGAGCACAATACTATTTATATGCATTACAGGCATGAGGAGCAATGCATTTTAAACGTTTTAATTCTCAAAATTTTATATGTTGTTTTGTTCAATTACATAGCATTCACCCTCATTACTGCGCGCCTTACAGCCTTACAGGTGAAAGAAAAACATACGAAGGTTGAAAGAAAGCCTAACATCCAGGGGCGTTTTCATTTGTTCATAATGAATTTGTTCAGTGAATATTATGTTGTTAACGTTTGTCTTTACAATATTTTCTGTTAATGTGATTAGTCAATGACACATGCGGGATAATATTTAAGACAAATTCGCCCCGGTGATGAATTTTTCTGGATACACCACTACTAACATCTATGAACAATTTTTCATAGCCAAACCCGCAGGGGCTTTGCCCTTCAACCTCAACCCAATCTATATATGAAGGTCTAAAATTTTATTAAAAAAAATCTTTAAAGGAGTAAAACATAGGAAAATTTATAATGTAGGACTAATTGTGTTTTCTTTCTTAAGTACGTAGTATAAAATTTTATTTATACTTATAGGCATTCTTCATATCATATATTGCCTCCGTCAAAGATGTTGAACTTTGATCAATTATTTTAACTAATATATTTATGTGACAATTAAAATTGTTATACTTTTATGATAGTATTTTTAACAAAGAATATTTTCATATGATTTCATTATTATAAATACTTGATACTTTCATAAATAGTGCTCCCTATATAATATAAATAGAATATTAGTCAATTAAAAGTGATCAATCTTTGATAATACGGAGTATGAATCATCTTCATCAACGTACTAGGAATTAACAGAGGAACTGACCTAACAAACAGCTGTGTAAGGTACCTTCTAGATTAATTAAGCCGCTTATAAACTACCGTATTATTATTATGCATACAATAAAAAAGAAAATCAAGATTTAATAGGCTGCTCGCCACGGATACGGCGGGCAAGCTGGACGTCCTTGGGCATGATGGTGACGCGCTTGGCATGAATGGCGCAGAGGTTGATGTCTTCGAACAGCCCAACCAAGTAGGCTTCGGCCGCCTCCTGGAGAGCCAGAACCGCGTGGCTCTGGAACCTTAAGTCCGTCTTGAAGTCCTGCGCTATTTCCCGCACCAGCCTCTGGAACGGCAGCTTCCTCACCAGCAGCTCCGTACTCTTTTGATACTTTCGTATTTCCCGGAGAGCAACCGTTCCTGGACGGTAACGGTGCGGCTTCTTCACACCGCCGGTTGTGGGGACTTGCTTCCGGGCAACCTTCTACCATATTCACATCAAACAAACAATACTTCGTATCAAACAAAAACACAATCCAGCAAATGTTTGTGCGCGCGCGGGCGATCAAGACATTAAGATATTACTCCGTATGATATATGGCCATGTGATTAGGGTTAAGAATTTGCACTTTATACAGATAAAACACAGCCTCTTTTTATGAGGGTTCTATGACTGATATTATCTTATTCACAATTTGTCACATACGTATGACATCGATCATATATATATGTAGCCCGGAAACTCTAGAAAAAGAACATGTTTTCGTTTTAGAAACTCTGCGAATCGAAAGTTGTTTGGAAAATCTTGGAACAAGCGTTTTTTGAACAAAAATTAACGTTTCATGTTTCTTTTTAATTCTTGAGTTTCCGAGCAACATAGAACGTCATCAATATCACATACACATCCAAGAATAAGTTATTTATAGATACCTTAATCACCGTACTGAGATGCTTCCTGGGAGCTTTTCCGCCGGTAGACTTCCGGTGTAGCGCCCTTCTCAGGGTTAAAGGAAACGTTACATAAACTTACTATTTTAAAAAAATCTGCAATATAACGACCGTTTGTTTGAGAAAATAACCCTGATAAAATCTCAAATATAACTAAAATATAACTCCAACTAAAACTCAATAAAATTTAGTTATCACCAGCAAATGTGATAACCACCTGGATCCAGGAATTTACTAAAACTTCAAAACCTCAATTAAAATAAAGTAATAATAATCACTTTATTATAAAATCTGAAATACTTAAATAAAATAATAACTAGTAGAAGCCGCCAAGGTCATTCCCGTTAACTCATCTTGGCACGCGTTCCACTCCCTCATCATCTTCCTAAGCCTTGGCCTTACCCTTAGTATCTGCACATGCGAAGAAAGAAAACTGATAAGCTTTACGCTTAGTAAGTCACTATGAACCCACAAAAATATCTGAGAAGTCTATGCTAATTTATCAATATATAAATTTAGGCTATAAGCATGCACTAAACAAATGACTAACAAATAGCTTCTCAAATAAATTCTGAGAGAGATACCAAAACAAAATATTTTCTAAAATAATTTCTCAAAACTACTAGAGAGATCTCAAAATTTCTTTCTCAAAACATCTCTGTAAAACTTTCTGAAAGAGATCTCAAAACAATTTTCTGTAAAACTTTCTGAGAGATCTCATAAACTTTACCGTAAAACTCTTTGTGGCTAATTTTAACTGTGGGCCCGTGATATGTACTCAAAGGCGCCAATCCGACAGCTCAGGGGAGCGACCCACTAAACATATCGGACTCTCTGAAACTGATAAACTGATAATCTGAGGGAACTTGTTCCCGAGTACATATCACCCGATCTTTCACTTTAAATATTAGTTCCTTTTATAGTGACGTTTGGGTTAAAACATCATTAAAATCTTGCAATAAAGTACTGACACAATCTTGACTATGCCAGATAATAAACATAACTTAATACAACAATTACAATAACTCATCAAATAATTCACCAAGTTCACATAATAGCAAATAGTCTAAAATCATCTACTAAAAATCAACCAGACTTCTTTCTTTCATTTGGTTGAACAAACATGTACAGGTGGTAGTGAACTTACCTGTCAAAAGCTGAACTTAAATTACTCAGATGTGTGGTACCGTGATAATGTCCTCCAGTAAGCTCTTCTCTTATATCTTTAGTTATAGAATAGTATAAAGTAAGAATTTTCCAAAGTGCAGCTGAAGTATGTAAGTGAAATTACATATTCTACTGTTATGTTCTAAACCTGGAGACTATAATAGTCTATTTTTATCTTTATTCGAAATAAATCTGATTTACCAATGAAAACTCTCTTAGTCCACATACATTAGCCTACTCATACGTACATAACTTTTAAGTGTTAAAACAAAATTCCAATTTATAAAATATAACTGCAGCAGAAAGCAGATTGAAGAGTGACGGCCAATTATAGTAGCTACTTGACTTGGATTAAAATATTTCTTGCCATCGGGTTGTAAAACAACCCAATTGTAAGAAAGCTTTGGACAAAAATAACATAGGATGGGACTCACACTAAAAGGCTTTATAAAGAAGTAATTTGCTATTTTTTATCATCAACTGCTGCTCAAAAATAATGATATGTTTCAGAGCTAACACTAACGAAACTACCCCCAAAATATGTCCAATACAGTATTATGAAATAGGATTAGTAGATAAAGGGAACTCAACGAATCAACTCAAGTAGGCATTCCTTTCAGAATAAAGGAAAATCTTTCTTTTTTTTTCTTATTTTGAAAAAAAAAACCAGTTGTACAGCAGGAGTACAGATCAGAGTTATCAATTTATGAACCTAACGGCATGTAGAAATTTTATAAAATTGAATTTGAAAGAATCTTATTGATCACTCCCAAAATAACTCTCTTGATTATAAAATAAAGTAGAAAACTCATTTATGAACATTTATACTCACAGAGATAGAGAAAACGATTACTGAGCAAAGAATTAAATATACTTGATCAAGGATGTGATTATCTAAATAAAGCTTAGTGGAAGAATTGAACTTACCAGAAGTGAAATAAGGCTTTGAAACCCGGAGAGAAGTTCTTTGATGATGAATTTAGGAAAAAAATGTTTTCGGTAGATGTGAGAAACGGGTTAGCGGCTGCAGAGAGGAGTAAAATAGTGTTTGTGGGAATTTTCTTAGGGTTGATATATATACTTACGTAGACTTCTTGTTGACTTCTCAAGGCTCTTAATAAAATACTTATTTCACCAAGTTAACTGATTTGGGTCTTTACGTACTATACAACATGTCTCAGGCCCAACACAAAAGAAAAACTAGTTAAACTTTGGAACCTTAATTATGTCTTTACTTAAAATTGTTAGAGCTTACCGGTCAACATTATCTGCCACAACAAAACATGTTAAATAATATATCACATTATTCGTAGGAGAAACCTATTTAACTAGCGAAAAAAATTGATTACTATAACTAGCTCATAAAAATCGGGGTGTTACAACCCCTCCCACC